TACCATAAAATACACTCTTATTTAATACGTATAATTAAGTATTTTTTCGTATATTCACAGGCTGTGCAGTTGTCACGCCAAAAAAATAAATAAGTAAATAAATCATGTACCACTGAGCCATTCCCCATTTTCCCTTACCCCCAGTTTCTGGCAACCACAGATTATATTCTGTCCCTGGATTTGTCTCTTCTCAATTTTCATTCATATAAATTGTGGCCTAGATTTTTATCAGGTAATTACTCTTACTGTGGGAATGTGTTCCTAGATTATGTTATACTGGTTGAACATTGAGGAATTAGGAAATTTAGGAATCCTTTAGGAGTAGTGATTTCCTAAGTCTTTTTGGGGGGTAGGGGCAGAGGGAGAGAGAGAGAATCTTAAGCAGGTTTCCCTACCCAGCGCAGAGCCCTAATTTGGGGCTTGATTTGACGACCCTGAGATTATGACCTGCGCTGAAATCAAGAGTTGGGTGCTTAACCACCTGAGCCCCCCCAGGTGCCCCCTTAATAGTCTTTTCTATATTTTCTTTGTATCGTGGGAATTGGTGCACATGGGCTGCCTCTGAAGTGTGGTTGCTAATACTGTTTTTCTCTCCCTCAGCTTACAAAGAGATTGCAGGGACATCCTAATAGGTAAGATATTTAGGTGACTTAAATTGCTTTGATTTTATCAATATTTTAGAGGTGATTCTTAAAAACAGCAGTTTCTGACAGCATGAAATTACATAGTCGGCAGCTCCACACTCTAAGTGGTAAGACTGTGTCTATAAGGGTCAGATACTGCTCTTCCCACTTACTGTAAGTTGAATGACTCTTATTCCTAAGATTTTAGTACAGTTTTTTCCTTTCTTTTAGGAAACTCCTGTGTAGTTTTTCCAGCTTCATTATCAGGTCATGTAATGATTTAGTAACGATTTAGTCCTAATCAGGTGTAAAATTGCCTTTTGTAGAACTCCCCCAACCTCTGGTAGTTGCTAAGGCACTGTAAGGAAGTATTTTGTAGGACTGAATTTTGTGGGTCTTTTTTGTTAATAATTTGATGATTAAAGTATTCAGATAGGGAGTTGGTATCGCAAAGATCCTAAGCTGACAGTATAGTATTACCAGTGCTACAGTATATAGTTTTGGTTTTTTTTGAAAGATGTTATTTATTTGAGAGGATAGCGAGAGAGCATGAGCAGGGCAGGGTGGTGTCAGGGAGAGGGAGAAGCAGACCACCTGCTGAGCAGGGAGCCCAGCGTGGGGGCGATCCCAGGACGCTGGGATCATGACCTGAGCCAAAGGCAGATGCTTAACCAACTGAGCCACCCAGGCGCCCCTGTAATTTGTCTTTTCTTAAAAAAAAAGAAAAAAAAAATTAAAAGATTTTATTTATGCATTTGAGAGAGAGAGAGCACGAGTGGAGGGGAAGAGGGAGAAGCAGGCTCCCCGTTGATCAAGGAGCCTGATGTGGGACTCGAACCCAGGACCCTGAGATCATGACCTGAGCTGAAGGCAGACGCTTAACCAACTGTGAGCCATCCAGGCGCCCCTTTTCTTTTAAGTTTTTTCCCCTGATAGACTCCATTTGTGTTTGGAGCTCACAAAGAAAAAATAATTCATTGATTAGGCCCAGCTTTTACACATTTTTGGTCTATATTTGCCTTTTAATGTGGCATAGAAATCTTATGCTGTTTGTACCTGATGATGAGTAGATGGTGGGTGTAAAAATGCGAAGTCAGTTGAGCCCAGTTTACTGCCTTGGGATCAGTTAATTACGAAGTAAAGCATGGGTTTTATTCTTGAATTGTTTTAGAGGAAGAGAGTTTTGTCCTGTTCAATCCATGTTATTCTCCTCTCCTTCCCAAGAGATAAGTCTGTTTCACAGATCTCAGACTCATGAAGGGATGAGAAGATCATCAAAGTCAGTGGTTTATTTAGTAGTGTTGTTTTTCACAGGGCACAATTTATAGATCTTTACTTGGCCTGAGTTTTTCTAATACTATAACTCCATTGTATTTAATTTTGAATTCGTGAATATTCGTTTACTTGGATTTTTCTTCTTTTTTTCAGTGCTGTTTTAATGGTTCAGTGGCTAAAATGTGTGTTAACGGTCCATGCATCTTACCTATCCACAGTAAGTCTTCAGCTATAGTTGCTGAATAGTTTGGCTTTGATAAGGATTATAAACTGATATGTTAATGAAATCATCCTCCCTCCACCTGCCCTTCAACCATCAGCTTCTGCTTTTAAAGATTTTATTTTACCCCAGGTGAATTGTAATAATGTCATCGTTGTTGCCTTTTGTAAATTGGCCTTTTCTTTGCCCTGGATTTTTAAAAGTAATATATATTCTATAGAGAACTTTGAGAAATACAGAAAGGAGAAAAGTAACATACTGATAAATTAGCCTTTAGATGTTTTTTTTATGTATATATATAACCTGTTTAGCAAAATTATTTTTACAATGTTTGTATCTCTCCATTGTTCTATCTTGTCCCAGGACAATAGAAGATAGCTTGTGGTAAAAATGAAGTTAAATATTTAATAGCTGTCATTTTGTGGGGCTGCTGTCAGGTCTTGGTTATCTATTACAAATGGAAGGGAGGAAACAACAAGTTTTAATCAATACCAGAAAACACAGTTTTATAATACACATATTTACATACATTTCATAATATGAATTGGGTTCTTTGCTTATTAAATCAGTTATATATATGTGTGTGTGTATATATATTTTTCAAGATTTTATTTATTTATTTGACAGAGCGCTAGCACAAGTAGGCAGTGCGGCAGGCAGAGGGAGAGGGAGAAGCAGGCTCTCTGCTGAGCAATGTGGGGCTAGATCCCAGGACCCTGGGATCATGGCCTGAGCTGAAGGCAGCTGCTTAACCGACCGAGCCATCTAGGCGCCCCAAATCAGTTATATTTTAAGTTTCTGGAAATAAAATTATACAATTCACTTTTTTTTCCTTTAATTTTAATATCTAGCACCTTATAATAGATTTTCTTAATAGGTTATAGTGGATAGTTGAAGAAAGTTCTTAATTGCTCTTCTTTCTTAACACAGTTTCACCCAACTCCGCCTGGTCACTGTCCCTTGTTCTGTCTCAGGCTTCTTTTGCCTTCAGTAGTTTGAAATAGGGAAAACAAGTGGATAACCTGCTTTGAAGCCAGGAGTTTGTTCTTTATGTGTCTGGGGAGAATTCTGCCAGGATGTTAGAATGGGGGGAGGTATAAGAACAGTGGGAATGGCTTTGGGGTTTCCCAGCTTGCGGAATCTTGGGATGAGTTGAGGGCAGTGGTGAGTGGAGTGGTGGAGTGGCGGGTGATGGGCACGGGAAGATTCCCACAAGCATCCGGACTTGGGGTGAACAGGACAGCACTTATTTTATAACCTCATTCATTTGCTTAGAAGTGAGTAGAGCCCTAGGAGGCCTTGTAGAGAAATCCCTTCTGGAGTCAAGGGTGAACTGCTGGAGTAGTAGTCTTGTGACGGTCACAGTCATGGCAAAACAGACCAGAGAAGCACGGTGTGGAGAGGGCTCCCCTGCCTACGGGAATTCTGTCCTCACAGAACAGTGCTTTTCCTTCCACCTTTCCTTCGCTTCCTCCTCCCTACCAGATGTCCTTATCTTCTCTAAGCTGAGGGACTGTGCTAGGCATGCAGCTTAAGGAATGGACAAGATACCCTGTTCTCCCTGTTCTGGAGCTTGTTGTGGGCATAGGGACAGATAAAAAAGAGATGATGGCCACTGGAATGTGATCACGTTAAACTTTGTTTTATTCATTTTTGTGTCTGTTTGCTGTTTAAAGTTTAACATTTGAATGAAACTCTTATGCTAAATCGTCAGTGAGAGGAGGGCAAGTAAAGGCTAATTAAAGGGCAAAGAGTGGGGTTCTTTTTTTTTGTTCCCCTGGAGGGACAGATTTCATGCTTTAATTCCTTAAGCATGGTTCAGAGGATTCTTTAACAGGGAGTATGTTTGAAATACTGTAAGGTCAGCTTTGTACTCTATCGCTCTGTTGTGCTGTCTCTGGAAGCTGTGAAAAGCTTCCTTTAGCTTGCTTATGGTATAGGTAGATAATGTGATATAATCAGAGAGTAAGTTTCAGAGGAAAGCCCTCTTTAGCCTGGAGATACGTGGTGGGGGTATTTTTTATTTAATGTTTCAGTTATATTGACCTCTCTATTTTATTTTTAAATTTTTTAAATTATTTTTTAATTTATTTTTTTAGTAGGCTCCACACTCAGCGTGGAGCCCATCTTGGGCCTTGAACTCACCACCCTTAGATCAAGACATGACCTGAGATCAAGAGTCAGACACTTAACCGACTGAGCCACCCAGGCATCCCCCTGTATTATTATTTTAAAAAACACACTATTTTTTGCCATTAGGACATTAAAGGCCGGCCTGTGAAAATTTGCGATGTTGCTAGGCTGTGTTCCAAGCAGCCACTGCCACAGGAGGTGTAAGCAGATGCTTATGTTGCAGTGGCTGAATACTTGGGTGTTTCTGAGCATGATTTGTATGTTTGTTATCTATACTTTGTCATGATAGTATGAATATGATAATCTTTTTTCCCCCCTAGTTGCCTGATCTGGTACCCCAGCTGGGAACACTATACCAGTTAATGGAAAGCAGAGTAAAAACTTTTCAGAAACTCTCCCACCTTCATGGAAAGCTTATTCTTCTAATCACTCAAGTGAGTAAATCAGATTGTTTTATGCTAAACTTTAGATGCGATAGGAATAGAGAGGAAAAGGATCGTTTACCTGAACATCTAAAGCCCCATGTTTCAGCAAGAAATTGATAAATCAGGATCCAGTCTTTAACTTTGGAAATGTTATGTATTTGACAGTTGGTAAACTTATTTGTGCCGGATTCAGCTTTTCCTCAAAGGTTCTCACTGTCCTATGTCAGTTGTTAATATAGTTAGGATGGTTGTGCTACTATGAACAGCAAGTTACAGGGTATTTATATACAGTTACAGTTTTGGCACAGAAGCAAGTTCTGATCACCTTAAAAGGTATTCAACTTTTACAGAGTAATTCTTTATTCTTGTATTTAACAAGTTTGTTTTTTGCCCTGTATTGATCTGCATTTATTAAGGTCATCCGTCATACTGGTTGAGGGCAAGTTTACTGTTGGGGAAGGTGGGGTGTGATGGTGACTGCTATGCTTGCGATAACCTTGTACTCTACTTCATAATAGTACTTGATTATCTTTCAGGTTACAGCGTCAGAAAAAACAAAGGGAATGACTTGTCCTGCACAAAAGGCAAAATTGGTGTATGAGGAAGGTAAGGCTTGAGGGTACTATAGATCTAGAATTGGAACATTAGTTTTTTAACATTGAGTTCTGTTACTTATTTTGTAGAACATGACTGTGAGTAAGATCATACTATGGCACACCAGATTTTCTAATAAAATGGGCAAGCCTGTGGCAAAAATACCATCCAATAAGAAAAGAAAAGGTGCAAATACTGTATAGTAAAACGAGAAAGGGCACTGGGTATGGAAGATAAATTTAAGTGTAGGAGAACACTATGAACAAACTTAGGCCAGCACATTAAAACCCTAGATGATAAGAGGTAATTTCTTAGGAAACATTAATGACAAAAGTGACTTAAAAATAGAAATAGAGACCTTGACTAAGCCAGTGGCCTTGAATTGATTTAATCAAAACTTTTGCTCAAAGATGCCAGGCACAGGGTTTTTATAGGTGAATTTTATCAATCTTTCCAAGGAACAAGTCCTTTTTGTCATATATAACAATTTAGGCATTTTGTGAGTCAAAACCAGGTAAGGAGAGTTAAAACATTTTAGAATGGCTTTAAATATCTTGAGTAGCAAATTGATTACAGAAGTACTTAAGATAATATGTCATTACCAAGTAGAATTTAAAGATTGTAAGGCGATTTAGCATCAAGAGATCTATTTAATGTAGTTATCACATTAACAGATTAACAGGGAAAATGGAGATGGAGAAAAAGAATTCAGTAAAATTCAGTCTTCATCTCAGTGATAATCTGAGCAATCTACGAATTTAAAGGAATTTCCCTAATCTCTATCAGACAAAGTTGAGAAGCATTCCCATAAAGTCAGGAACTAGACAATAATGTACCTTTTATTTCTTCTGGATATCTTGCCTAGTATTGTATGAAAGAAGTGAATTCTAGAGCATTGGACTTGGCTGGCAGTTGTTATCCTTCTCAACTTAGAAAATGCAGCAGAATTTACAGTTACACCATCATTAATGAGATAGGGAAGTAAGCAACTTTATTGGACACCCAAGATCAGCAGAAAGGAATCAATTGCATGATTGTCTCAGCAATGTATTGTATGTCTATTAATGTATTTCCCAGTCAGAAAATGTATTAGGAAAAAAGTTGCATTCACAGCAGCAGTCAAAATTATGAAGTACCTAGATAATAAAACCTTTATAGAGAAAATAATAAAACATAGCTGAAGGACATAAAAGCATACCTGAATTAATTACTTAGACTTTTTTTTTTTTTCCAGTTTTACTGAGATACAGTTACATATAACATTTTTTTTAGGTGTACAACATAATGATTTGATAATTTATGTATATATTGTGAAATGATCACCATTGTATGTTTAATTTACATCTATCACCACACATAGTTGGAGTTTTTATTTTCTTATGCTGAGAACTTTTTACTCTCTTAACAGCTTTCAGATAGACAGTACGATATTGTTAAGAGTGGTCACCATGCTGTACGTTATATTCCCAGGACTGACTTCTCTTATAATTGGAAGTTTGGACCTTTTGATTTTCACTCATTCCCCCCATCCTCCACACCTCTGGCAGCCACCAGTCTTTCTCTGTGTCTATTGGTTTGGTGTTTTAGATTGCACATCTAAGTAAGATCATACAGTATTTACCGTTATCTGTCAGACTTACTGCACCTGGTACAGTGCCCTCCAGGCCCATCCATTTGTCACAAATGGGAGGGTTTCCTTTTTTTTAATAGCTAAATGGAATTTAATGGCTGAATGTATATCACATTTTCTTTAACCATCCATCCAGTCCATCGATGGACTCTCAGGTTGTTCCTATGTCTTGGCTGTTGTAAATAATGCTGCAGTGAACATGGGGGTGCAGGTATCTCTTAGATCCTCATTTCGTTTCCTTTGACATATACCCAGCAGTGGAATTGGTGGATCATCTGGTAGCTTTATTTTTAGTTTTTACTTTCTTAGGGAGCCTCCATACTGTTTTGAATAATGACAGCACCAATTTACATTTCTACCAACAGTACCATGAGGGTTTCCTTTTCTCCACATCCACGGCTTAGTTTTTTAAGATGGATTTTGTTAGGGTTTTGGTACTTTGTCCTACTCAGTGAGATCTTGATAAATGGACTTTTATGCAGATAAGAATATTAATGTTACTGCTTAGATGGATGGTAGCTGAATGTAGTATTTCTAAAAGTAAATTCAGGAATCGGACTCTGTTTAGTTGTTAGGGCTCTGCCCTCTGCTTGTTGATCACCAACTTAAGGCTGCGTTTTTCCCCTTGCAGAATCTTCTGAAGAGGAGTCAGATGACGAAATTGCAGAGAAGGACTCTGATGTGAGTACCTTGTTTCCTGGTGCATAAATCTGCCTTTACACCCTTGCGCTCTGTATGAACAAGGACTTCATGAATGCTTTCTAAAGTGCTTCATCTATTTCCACCAGGATAACTGGGATGAAGATGAGGAAGAGAAAGAAAGTGAAAAAGATGAGGATGTTGATGAGAACGATGAGGAGGAGGAAGATGCTGAAGAAAAAGATGAAGAGAATGGGGAGGAGGACAGGGATGTAGCCAGTGAGAAAGAATTAAATGGAGATTCTGACTTAGATCCTGAAAATGAAAGTGAAGAAGAGTGAGGACGGAGAACAAGCCGATGGAGCTGTCATCTCCGGTACACCTTCCCCAATGCTGCCGAGTTCTCCTGGGAAGGGTTGTCTCTGGGACAGGCGCCAAGGACCGTTGCACATTTCCAGATTCCTCGTGGTGGTTCCCATGCCGTCTCGCTGTCCTGAGCACCCCAGACTTCACTGTGTATATAAGAGTGTTTCCTTCAAATGTTAATAAACTTTACACAGCAAATAGACACCTTTTCTGCAATGTACTGACATGAGTGTCCAATATATGGTATATTTTTATAATATAATATCCCAGTATGGTTGGTTATAGCAAGAATTGACATAAGTGAAGACACAGACATCTCCCATGTAGGGTTTCAAAAACTGGACTTTTGTGAAGGAGTCAGCTCTTATCTCAGGTTGGTATCTTTCATCAGATCCAGATACAAAGCGGCACTAGTGAAAACAATTTTTAATTTGGTACATTTTCATAAAATATGAAGGGATAACTAAAGATTCGGAGCAAAAACAGTTGGGATTTAAAAACTTTTAAGTATCAGTATCCCTAGCTTGCTTGCTATTAATGGTGGTGATCTGATTTGAGTCAGGTTGAGTATTTGGAGTGCTTCCCCCAAACAGCCACTTATTTTTTAAGCTGTCATGTGGAATATTTTTTTAAAACACAAAAAATTATGGTAATTAAAAAACTAAAGAATTAGCCATATTAAGGATTTTTCTTGACTGCAGGTTGCCTGTAAAGAATCATCAGTGTATAGATTTAGAAGTACTCATTATCTGCAACTTTTTAAAAAATTCAGTTATAGCTGCTTTTGAAGAGGTTTTCATTTTTATTTAAATTACTAATGGATCAAAGAACAACTGTTTATTTTTTCTCTTTGGTTTTAGATATTAATGATAACCTTGTTGGAATTTTTTTCCAAAGAAAATATTTTTATAATTCAGTAATTTAATGTTTTCCTTCCTTTTCATTACCCACTCTTGGCAGTGTTAGGGTATCTGTTTACCTTTAAAATAATAAATCTGACTCAAGATTTTTTATGTATGTATAAATAAGTATTTTGGTGTGCTACAAAAGCCTTTTCAAATTATCAGTAATTTTTTTTTTTTAAATTAAAAGAATGAGCCAGTATTTGTGTAGTGCTCTCTAGGGAACAATGCAGATGGAAGCTCAACTCTAAGGGAGGGCTGGGGAGATGGGTTTATTTTTACCACCTGTGAATATGTAGAACACAAAACCATTATCTCTGAGGGACTTTTTAACTTTAATGGCAGAACAGAGATTTCTGTGCTCAACTCATAGAGCTGGAGCCACACAAGCATCTTGGGAAAACAAGTTTGAGCCGCTACTGGTGTAATGTACAGTTATATTTGTCTATAAATGGAACTGTTTATGGCAATTTAATACCATTCTCTTTGTAAAGTGAATAAATATTCATCTTTACCCGGTGCTTGTCTTGTGGTATATGTAGAGGAACACAACCACATTTGGGCTTGTGTGCAGGTTTCAAGGAAGTGATCTTACTCCACTAGCATTAAAAGGTAAGCACGCTCTCTGGGTTTGTTGGAAAACCTAGAATTTGTAATGAAGTGAAAGAACCAAGAACTTTGAATTTAGATGCAGCCCCGCTTGGCTGGGTGATGCTTTCATAGCCTGAGGCTGCAGCGGCATCACCAGGATGGAGGTGCTCATCCACTGGGTCCTGCTTTGTGGTCTGTGAGTCTCCTTTCCCTGCACGTGACTCTCCCTGAAGGAGTCGAGTACAGTGTGTAGTGATTGCTTACTCATTATTTTGGGGGTTAGACAAATCCAGGGCTTAATTAGGCTTGTCCCAAAGACATTTCTGGTTTCAGGGTATTTTTCACTATGTTGTTCCATTCCTAATCCAGGCAACATTTTCTGTGGGTAGGGTCATCTTTTCTGAGATCATTTTCTTCCCAACCTTTGATTTTGAAAAGTTAACCTTCCATCATCACCAAGGATTACACATTGTATTTAGTTGTTATTGCTGTATTTGTGTGTGTGTGTGTGTTATTGCTCTATTAATCCAGAATTCTCCCTTGTGTGTTTGTGTTTCATGATTTTGATGTTTAAATGATTCCACATAAATTAAGCTGTGTTAGAGAATGTTTTATAACCTGGATTTGTCTGTTTCCTTATGATTAGATTCTGGCTTAAATGTTTTTTGGCAAGAATACTAAATAGGTAACTGATATTTGAGATTAATTTGTAAAAAGTAGTTCTTTGGGTATAGATGAATATAGAGTATGTTTTGGCATAAGTAGATGTCCAGCTTTTAGGTTTGGGACTTCTGAAGTTTTAGTGCAGAGGGATGTTTGAGGGTCAGAAACAGGATCTTGGTAGTGAGAACACTGGGTATATTGATGCTATATAAGGCTGTTTCCTGTGGAAGTTAACTCTTAGCATTGCACCTTCGTTCATTTAACAAATATTTATTGATTGCCAACTCTGTGCCAGGGATTATGTGGTTGCTTGGTATACATCACTGATTCTGTCCTGAGGAGCTGACATTCTACCAGAGAGATCTAGGCAAAAAACACTATCAAGAGTAAGTAAATTCAATGTAGTATGTTAGAGGGTGGTAACTTCTGGGGAGAAAAAGTGGAGTAAGGAAATGGGGAGTCTGGGTGCGGGGGCGGGGGTGTAGGTTGCAGAATTAAATACACGATCAGGTTAGGGTTTATTGAGAAGGCGAGACTTAACAGACTAGGAGGGGTGAGGGAGTTAGCAAGTGGGTATCTGGGGAAGAGTGTTCTGAGTGAAGAAACAGCAAAGGCCCTGTGGCTAGCACATACCTGTGATTGTGTTACAGAGAGATGTCAGTGAGACTGGAATGGAGGGAGAAAGGGAGAGTGCATCAAGAGGTTAGCGGAGAGGTAATGAGCAGTCAGGTTGCAAAGGCCTTTCAGGCCACTGTAGGGACTGGTCATGCTCTCAATGAAACACTGTTGCAGTGTTTGAGCAGAGGGGTGCTCTGCTCTGGCTTCTGTGTTGAGGATTTTGTATCACCCTGGTGCTATGTTGAGAAATTGAAGGACTGCATCCTAACAGAAGCCAGTAGGATACTTTTGCAGTAATCCAAATGAGAGATGATGGTGACTTAGGCTAGGGTGGTGGTCATGGAGTTTGGTTGGTTTCTGGATTGTTTTAAAGTTAGAGCTAATGGGATTTCTTATGGGGGAGGCAGAGGAGTCAGGGAAGACTCCCAGGTGTTTTTTCCCTAGAGCACCTGGATGATGCTGTGGGTGGAGCAGGTTTTAGAAGAGTAGATCAGGAATTGAGTTTTAGACATGTTGAGTTACAGATACCTAATTAGGAATGTGAATACATACCCAGCTGACTTGTGGAAAGGTCGAAAGGGAGGCGGAGATTTGGTATTGACATGTATGTGACAGTAAAGCCACAAGACTGAATGAGCTTCCCATGGAGTGAAGGTACATAGGAAGAGCACCCAGGCCTGATGCTCCAGCATCAGAGTGGGAGAAGAGAAACCCCAACGGACCCATCCAAGAGAGAGTGTCCGTAACGTAGGAAGGATTAACGTCTATTTAACTCTTCGTTCTCTTCAAATCTGAATTCATGACAACCTTTAGCCCTGATTTCTTTCAACTCTTAAGTGATGTTCCTGGTGAGTCCTCCCAGGCCACAGTGGTTATGATGTCCGCCCTCTGTATGACCGTTTGTTGATCCCTTCTTTGAAGGCAACTCAGGCATACAGTTTATTTTTTTAATCCAATGTTGTGGTCTTCACCTTTATGGCCCCTCAGCACTGTCCCTTGTGCTGACCCATTATGTGTCCAAATTGTATATGGATTGGAAGATGCAGAACGAGAGGTCACAGGAATGTGGACAGATGAGCAGGCATCATTCAGACAGGAAATGCAGTCTGGCAGAGGCACCGGATAGGTAGGGTTCACTCTGATGCACAGTGCTGGCTGACTTGCCGTGAGAAAACCAGATGGGCTGTACTTGGCAGTACTCTGATGGATTGTCATAAATGTGTGGATGACTTTTAATAGGAAGGTCATTCTGAGAGGAACAGGGCAATTATAAATGCACTTGAGGAGGTGAGGAACGTCAAATGAAAAACCCAAAAGTTGAGGTACCCGGGTGGCTCAGTCGACTGGTTAAGCATCTGCCTTCGGCACAGGTCGTGATCCCAGGGTCCTGGGATCGAGTCCCACATCGGGCTCCTTGCTCAGCAGGGAGCCTGCTCCTCCCTCGGCCCACACCTCTCCCTGCTTGTGCTCTCTCTCTGACAAGATCTTAAGAAAACAAAAGAAACCCAAAAGTTGAAAATCACCACTTTAAAAATTGCCTGGCATATTGTTTGCAGGTAATAATGGCTCAAAGGGGGAGGAAAGAACTCTACTTACTGGCTGCTGGAGTTAAGTAAAGGATTTCCTGAAGAAGTAAGTAGGTATGAAAGCATTTGGTTCTACCCTCAGCCCCACCACAGTGTGTTTTCTAGTTAGAGGGGAAGGGGCATGATGGCTTGTTAGTGCAATCCCTGAAGTCTGAGGCCATTTGGCTACTGCCTTAGCTGGCCTGGTGTGGTCACAATGCTCCGGAACTGGGCCAAAGCTTCGCAGGTTCAGAAACCTAGTTCTATCTTTGTCCTTAGAGTCGCTGCATTTTCACAGAGTGAAATCATTAACCAGGCTTCTAAGAAAAATTGGTATTTGGATGGTATTTACAGTGAGAAGTCTACCTCTCAAGTGGAGCAGAGTGTTCACGTTGGGTGGTGACATGTCTTCTTTCTGCACAGGGAGGCGACAGAGTAAACTGGCTTTATAGCTGGAAGACTGTCTTTGAACCAGAGTGTGCAGTTGGAATAAGAGAGATGAATTGGATGGTCTTACTAGCTGGTGTTATGGGCCGTGAGTAGTCTAGCATCGAAGGGGTTGGGATCTTGGCTTCCCTGTATGTTGCTCTGGGTCCTCTCGCTTCATACTGATCCTTCTCCTTTTAACAGCACAGTCACTGTGGTTGGAATGCTGGTGTTTGGGGTCTCCTCAGACACCCACTTAGGGCAGCTGGATTAGGGTATTCTAATCATTTGAGGGGACAGCTTTCTCCTGACCATGGGTACCGTTACCATACGGTTACACCTAAGAAATAAACTTGCTATTTTCAGCCCAACTTTGACCTTGTTTATTATATTTAAGCTAGCAAAATCTGGCTCCTCCCCTTTTCTTTGATTGTGGTAAAATACACATAAAATGCACCATTTTGACCGATTTTTAAGCGTACGGTTCTGTGGCATTCATTACATTACATTGTTGTGCAACTGGCAAAGTCAATTGGTGAAATTCATCATAGGATCAGGTCCAGGAAATGAAAGAGGGCAAAAACAAATACAGTTGGTGTGCTGTGGAGGGACCCAATTTAGGGCCAGAAGCTTCAGTTATGGGCTCACACTGCAGCATGGCAATGATAAATCTACTTAATTTCTTCTTTTTTTGGTCTGTGCAGGAGAGTAACAACAGTGCTGTCTGTTACAAGAATGCCGTGAGAACCAAATGGAACAGTGTCTGGGACACTGAACACCAAACACCAAGGCACAGTACTTGGTGAGGAGCTTGTTTTCAGAACAATGGTCAGACATTTTTCCAACATGAGAAGGGAGGATGGGGTGCAAGTTCTCAGGCAAACTCCTTTTTGTCTCGGGCATTTTTAAGAAATCCACACAGCCTTACGGGTAAGCACAGACACTCCTCCCCCACTTCCACAGGTGAAAAGTGAAATGAATCAAATCGTTTTCCTTTCCTTTAATATATTTTTAAAATCTATTGTTTTAAAACTAATGACATCCATTCAGTAAGATTTGGAAAATACCAAAAAGCATGAAGAAGGAAAATAAAGTTATATTAACAGATAACCATTTTATACTGTTTTGGTTATCTCCTTTTAATCTTTTTCTCTTTGCCTGAGTGCACACACAGTTTTCTTCTGAAATTGGAATCCTAATATCTGTTCATTTTACCCTTTGTTACATAATATCATTACTTATCCTTTGAAATAATGCTGTCTGTGGTTCTTCATATTCCGTTATACTTGAACTAAATCTGTTTTAAGTAATGCTATAGTGAACATTTTTATTCACATTTTATATTTCTTTTTAAATGTATCCTTATGAGATTCTTAGGAGTAGTGTTACTTACTACATGAATATTCTCTTCAGACTTAAGAAATTTGCTAAATCATTTTCCAGAAAAGTTGTATTGATTTTTTTAGCCCCACACGCAATGCTCATGTTTCTGTTTCATTATGAACCTATGTTCACTTGCTTTGTTCATTGCTGCTTGTATTTCTGTAGAGTATTGTGAGTTCAGGTCCTTGTCTTTGCCTCAGAAGATTTGTCTTATTTACCTGTAAAGCCTTTTTATATATCAAAGATACTCAACCCTTGCCAAACATATGCCAC